TTCATAAATGAAATGAACTGTTTTTAGAAGCAGTTTCTTTTTCCTTTTTAAATTTTTTAAAAATTTTTAATGTTTTTTTCCCTTTTATTGCTTCCAGACAAGATTTTTCCCAATGTAAGTTTAAATAGAAACCTTATTCCAGTTTCTGAGTTCCACTTRTCCATTTGGGGGTACATTTTGCCATCTGCTCTCCCTCCAACACAGAGCAGTGCCAGGTGTCTGGTGCCAGGGGCTTCTTGRAGTCTGGGGTGCCAGAAGTGGCAGCAGCTCCCCATGGGGACCTGTCAGGGCAAAGCCTGRCAGTCAGGGCTCATCCCACCTCCACCCAGGAGCCAGGTATCTGAGGGACACCAGGACAGCCTCAGCCCCAGGTGACTCCCCAGGGACAAACCAAAGCTGGCATCAGTCTGAATCTCCAGCTCAACATGGCCTGTGGCSAGACCAGCCTCATGCAAGATCCTAGCACACACCTTACCCCACACAGCAGCATCACCGAGTTCCTAAATTATGTAGTTCTTCCCATAGCAGCTCACAGACCAGCTGTATGCCCCACTCTGTCTCACTYGTTTCCAGCTCTTGAGCTCTCTGCTACCTAATTTCATCCTGGTTTTATTTCTGTGATCCTCAGGGTTGTTGAGTTGTTCCTTCCCTGTACTGACTCCATCTCCCCAGCTTTATGCTCTCAGCAAAATCCATCAGCACTTTTCCTAATAWTTGTGGCACTGGGAAGCACACTGCCCAATAGGTTTGGCTGAGTGGTGAAACTTCCTCAGTAATTCAGGTAACAAATACTTTTGCTACAGCCAAGGACCAATTGCCATTTTAACATTTATTTTAAGATTGTCTATAAACCAATATGAGCTACCAAATTATTACACCCATGCCTGGTTAGTAGCTGTACATATCAGAGCCATTCATGAGCAGCAGCAGTTCCCATCTTATAAACACTAGCTTTCATGCAGGTCAGGCACAAGATAACAGCGAACCTTACCTGAATTTTTATCTTTTTGCATGAAAAATCACTTTATTCCTGTCCACCGTTGTTAGGAGCCCAGATAACTCATTAGGTGACTACACTTTCTCATCTTGCTATTCATACTGCACTCCCCAACCAATGATAACAAATTGGTTTGCTAGTAATACTAAATTCAGAGGAGGTGCGACTCCCTTGAATGCAACAGCGAAGCCCTGCAGACAGACCTTGATAAATTAGACGGCTGGGCACTCATCAGCCCTATGAAATTTAACAAGGGAAAGCGCAGGACTCTGCACCTGGGCTGGGGAAACCCTGGTTGAACCTGCAGAATGGAAAATGAGATACTGGAAAGCAGCACCCTAGAAAGGCACCTGGGGATCGATCGTGGTTGAGGGCAAGTTGAACATGGGTCAGCAGTGCCCTGAGTGCCAACCGTGGGGGGCATCAGGAACAGCATCACCAGGCAGGCAAGGGAGGGGATAGTCCTGCTCTGCTCTGCACTGGGGTGGTCTCATATTGAATATTGTGTGCAGTTTCAGCAACACAGTATGAAGACGATATGAAGCTATTTAAAAGCATCCAAAGTAGGATTACAAAGACGGTGAATGGCCTTGAGAGGAAGCTGTATGAGGAGCAGCTGAGGTCTGTTTAGCCTGAGAAGAGGAGACTGAGGAGGGACCTCACTGCARGTACAGGTTCCTTGTGAGGGGAAGAGGAGGAGCAGCGCTGATCTCTGTGGTGACCAGAGACAGGACCCGAGGGARTGGCCTGAAGCTGTGTCAGGGGAGGTTTAGATTTAGATTGGATATTAGGAAAAGGTTCAGTGGTTGTGCACTGTACAGGTTCCCCAGGGCAGTGGTCACAGCACCAGCCTGACAGAGCTCAAGATGCATTTGGACAATATTCTCAGGCACATGGTGTGATTTTTGGGTATACCCTGTGCAGGGCCAGGAGTTGGAATTTGATGATCCTTGTGGATCCCTTCCATTTCAGGATATTCTATAATTAATCCTGTGATTCTAGGGACCCATCTAAACCACATCTAAATCTATCTAAATTAGTTAACCTATCTTAACCACAAATGTAGGAAGGTCGTAAGGATACTCCCCGCTTCTACTGGAATAATTCAGCTGTCCAGACAGGCTCTGCTCAAGACGCCCACAAATTTCCCCTGTATTATATTCGCCTATATWTTTCATTCCCTTTATTTCTCCCCGGCATTGTTTCGGCCCCGTCCCTCAGGGCCCGCCCCCCTCAGGCCGCCAGCCCCGCGCCGAGGCCCCGCCCCCCTCGCCGCAAGCTCCGCCCCCAGGGCTCACGGTGCCCGCTGATTGGCCGGTGGGGCGCGTGGCGAGGGGCGGGGCTGGCGCGGGGGTATTTAAAGCGCGGCGGCAGCGGCAGCTCTATTTATCTGAGCTTCGAGACGGGACGCTGTGTTGTGGTGAGTGTCGGGAGGGGTCGGGGGAACCGGGTCCCTTGGCCTTGTGGCGCGGTGGTACCGGTGTGCGCCGCCGCGCCGGCCCTGTCTGTCCTGGCAGGGAGGAGCCGGGAATGTCGGGTGCGCGGCGTCGCCGGCGGGCCGGGCCTTACGCCGTGTCCCGGGATAGGAAGCGTCTRGTCGGCCTCGGGGCGCGGCGACAGCATGTCTGCCCCCGGAGTAAAGCTGCTCTTGTCCTCCTCGCCGTCCCTTTCCTCACGCTCTCTTTCCCCATTAACCTTTCCCCCCTGCGGTGTCCTTAGGAAGCCCGCCGCTCCTCTCTGTCTCCCTCCGTCCCGTTCCAGGGCTGTCAGCGGCCTGGGGAGCTGAGGGGTGCTCGTCCTAGCGCTGCAAAACCCTGTTAAGTCCCAGGTTCAACCTTTAAATCAACCTTAGCCCGGAGAGCTGAGCCTGCCACGGGGCTCAGTGATGGCTATAGAGCGCTCCTAGCTTCGTTCGGTGTTCTCCTCTAGGATAGTAATGTTGCTTGTGGATAAGGAGGGCAAGTTGTAATGGTGATAGTCCTTTGGGTTATCTTACTTCAAAGTGCAACTTCACAGGGTTTGTCCTGTGAAAAAGTAAAACTGYGGAGCCTCTTCTGCATAGGTAGGAAGGATTCAGCTCTCCATTCAGAAGGACTTACAGGAAGTTCAAACTCTGATTTTGAAGAGGAAGGGGGAAGTAAAATCTAGCGTTTTGCTATGCATTAACCAGCACTTGCTTTTTTTGTAGTTTGAAGCTTTGTGGAGAAGGCTTCTTTGCAGCTCTTCAGTGTGATTACGTGATTCAATGTCATTCTGGTTTCAAAACTATTTAACTATTAGGTGATATTTAAAATAGTTCCTGACGTAGCAAGTAGTTAAGTTCGTGTTTATGTTGGACAGAATGTCAGCCTGCATGTATGTAGCATGTTGTATTCTGTGTCTGTGCTGTGAAGCTAGAGCACTCTATAGAGGTTGCTATAGAAACCAGTTGAGTGAAGGGGAGGGTCAGATGCACTGGACTGATACTTGTGTGCTGCTTTCCTGAAAAGATCCATGTGAATCCTCCCTGAGCTCAAACTGCATGTGAGGAAGGTGAGGAGCTAGCTTCAGTGAGGAGCCTTGCTTTAACTTGGTTATGTCTGTGTAGTCCTTCTGAAGGTGTCCAGTTTTCAGCATTCATAACTATTGAAGTAGATGTTTACCTGTCTGGTGATTTGGGGATGTCCKAATTGGGTTTAAAACTAGTTATCCAAAATTAAACTTGATGGATGCTTTAAATTGATGGTATCTCTGGTGGGGGAAAGGATTTTTTGTATGTCAAATGCCAGTATCTGTGTAAGTACAACCTTGCTTGAAAGAAAATGTGTGTCTTTTAATTTTTAGCTGGTGCTTGTATTGCAGTACATTGTGTGGGTGCACAAAGTGCAGGTTGTCCCTGCAGCTTGAAAAGATTTGTTTCAGATATGTARGGTAGTCAGCTGTTCAAGAAGTCCTAAGACAAGCAGTCAGATGTTTTTACAACTGTCTTGTGACTGCCATGKAGAAGTAGAAGAAAAGCTTAAAGGATCTGGCATAAAGCTGACTCAACAAAAAACTGAAKCACAGTGGCTGGTGCTGCTGAACATTCTTGTTTAGTGTATTACATGGACACTGGGGTTTTTYCTCCTAGTCYRGGCACTTGGATTCCAGAGGCATATTCYGGGGARTCTCCTCTGGGGATRCTCAAAAGTCTCGTGGACACTGTTSTGAGTGTGTTACAGGGCCACAGCTTAGTCTAGATGACCTCCAGTGGTCCCTTTCAATCTTAGCCATTCTGGGATTTKTAAAGCTCATTATTTTCCTGGTTTAGAGGAGGTGCTGTATCTTAAGTTTTAACTTGAGAACTAAATTCAAGCTTGTTTGTTTTGTTGCTTTGTCTTTTCAATATTGATTTCAGRCTGGTAAGTAAGACAGAAAACTGAGAAGGTGTGAAGTCTTGGGTTTTCACATAGGAGCTTCAGTTGAAATAAAAACAAAAGAAGGAAGTGGTAGCACTGAAGTGATCACTGACCGCTCATGACCTGCTGGGGCTGGCCTCTGTCCCCACAGCTTCATTCTGACCCTGTTTGTGAAATCTGAGTGGCAGACTGAGAGTTTAAGGCTGAAGAAGGCACAATTCTTCAGCTGCCTGCTTTTAACCTCCTTTGTAGAGCACAAAGTGTGGTGCTCTCTTGGATCTAGCTACCAGCATTTAAGCCTATGGCATGCTATTGTTGAAGTCATAATGAAATCTACTCTTTGAAGTTGCATTTTACTTCAGTAACATTTTGCCTGTAGTTCTCTAGTAAGATTAAGTATATGATTTCATTGAATGATCTCCATGGAAAAGCTTACTGAATTTAACTCTAAAAGTTTCGTTGAGGGCAGAGGCATGAAACATGATTTTATTTAGGCACTTCACATGTGTCAATTCATGAAAGGGAGGGGCCTCTTACCCTAGCAGAGTTTGGTGTGTGGCATTAGCAGCTGGAAGGTGAAAGTATGCTGTGACTCTTGATTACTRACTGTTGCTTCTTAAGCCTGGGAAGGCTAAATTATTTTTCTGTTGCAGAATCTTCAGYAACACTATTCTGAAAACTAGTCCAAAAATGTCTTCTCTTGATACCCTCTTTAAATACATTGATGAACATCAGGACCTTTATGTTCAGGTAAGCTTTCTTTGARTTTTGTCCTGCAGCATGGGCAGCAATAGGATATTAAAAGTTAGGTCAGTGTCAAGTTTGTTGTTACATTTATATAATATGCCCAGTGTTARAGTAATGTCAAATAATGGGAGAGAGGGGAGAGCAGGCAGCAGGTGTGAGTGATTTGAGTCAGGTCAGAAAACTGTTACTTCAGTTCCGTCATAGTTCAGTTCAAAAACTTAAATATCCATGGTAGATTTACTAAGAAATGATCTATTACTGTATAGTGCAACATGTGACTTATTTAGAGATACAAGAAGTTGACACTGGCTCCTGAATGCCAAACTAGGTTTATGGTTTCTTCCCTTTTGAGATGGGAGATGATGAATAATATAAATGAGGTTGGAACAAAGCTTTCTTGTATAAATTGATATATGCTAGGGCACAGAGGGAGGGTGCCCTCTTCAAAGAGATACTTTGCTATTTGACCTGCTATTTAGTTACAGGTTGTATTGTAATCCCTTTTTCACATGAAGGGATCAGTGGTACAGCACTGTGAACTCAGGAACTATGCCCAATGTTCAGCTTGATTTCTGCCAGTTGTTCTTGCTGATCTCACATGGAGGGGGGGAAAAAAGCTAAAATAGCCTTTTCAAGAGGCCTGAAAGACTTTAGCTGGTTCTGGATACTTAAATAACAGAAACTGTAAGAGCCCAATAAGCACAAACTGTCCTACTTTTAAGCCTTTGTAATGTATATGTAGACTTTGATCCATACTGCAGGGACTGCTGTAGGGGAGTGAGCTTTTAGAGAGCTTTTGAGAGTAATACTAATGGTTAAAGTTCTTTGAGCAGAGAACAGAGCTGATTTGCCTCAATTTGCGCTTGACTGAAACCAGTGTTTGTTGAATTACAAGGTGTGGTATTTGCATGGTGCCTGTTGTAAAACCTGTGGCTCTTCCATCTCTCCAGCGCCTGGCTGAGTGGGTGGCAATCCAGAGTGTGTCAGCATGGCCCGAGAAGAGGGGTGAAATCAAACGCATGATGGAGGTTGCTGCCAAGGATATTGAGCGCCTGGGAGGCAYCACCAAACTTATGGATATTGGGAAACAAAAGGTATGTGAGTGTCTCCATGTCAGCTTAGTAAAAAAAAAAATCTCTTTAGAAGACAAGGTATTTTGTRTGATAAGGTGCTGGTTTCTTATGTTCCCAGTATGAAAGATACCTAGATTCCATTAAAATGCTGTTTGTTGGACTTAATGCTATAAAGAAAGAGGATAGCATGGATATTCTTATGTCCCTGCAGATACTGGCACTCCCAAGCTGTGCAGCATCTGGCAGGCATCCAAGCAGCATCCAACATGCTGTGCAGACCCCTTGCATGGGAATGTTACCCCATTTTATTTATTCAAGCTGTTCAGTTTTACTGATAAACAAAAGGGATAAGAATTATATGAGAATTTCTTGATGCACTTTTAGATTAAGTCTAGGACATGCAGGTGGTGTAATCACCAGTGCCAAGTGAAGATTGCCATCAGGTTATGGTCAAGTGGCTCAGTTTATCCTGCAGTCCAGGATAAATTTGTGAAATCTGAGTGGCAGATGTCTGGTCAGCATCACCACACAAGGGTCCTGTGGGCAGTGGCCTAGAAGGCCGGTAGCCTGTTGGGGTGTAGGATCATGTCTTTCCTGTCACACAGTCTGAAATTTGTGTTAAAAGTATTTGTTTACAGTAAACCTTGGGACCCAGTTAAGGATGCTGAGTTATATTTTGGACTGTATTCAATGTATTTTAAATACTTTTTGAACTGAACAAGAACAGAGCACTTGCAAGCAGAAATGTTAGACATTTTTAACAAGAGGCTGGTGCTGGTCCTTAGAGTCATCGACTATAAAGATACTGACTGAAATTTCAGTGAGTCTTCCAAAAGATCTCTTTCAGAAGTATTACATTTGTCACAGTGCTTCAGAGTAAGACCCACACCAAAATTGTTAGATAGTGTCGTTAAAAATCTTGTACAGGAATGTTTGCTAGTTTTGAGAGATCATCCTTGTATGGGATCTGAAAGACTGCTCAGTGAAATCTGTGTTTATGGGAACCTTCTGAGCAATTCTTGCTTTTTGGCAACTGGATTACATTTGTTTGTAGCTGCAGGTCCAGCAGGGAAACGGCTGACTTGGGAGGAAATCTGTAGGATAGCTCTAGCTCTGCTACTGCCTACAGCCTAAAACCCCATCGAAAGCATTTAACTTAATTCAGAGACCAAGTTGTTCTTTCATCATTATAACTTTTTGGTAACAAGAACTGATTTTAGAGTTTAATCTGTTTAATTTTTATTTAGGTAACTCTTGCAGATGGATTTAAGTTAGCTTCAGTGTTCAGCTTTATATTAAGTATGGAGAGCTAGTCAGCACATTATGTATGTTGCTGCTGTATCTGTGAAGGACATTGTAAAGCAGCTGAACTTGTCAGATCAAATTTACTGTTGCACAGCAGTTTGTTGTGTATTGATTACTGTAAATTGCAGTAGTGCTTTAATCACGTAGAACTGTAGTTGGCCAAGGACCATGTAACCTGTTGATAAAAAATTGGAGCTTGGAACCCATATTAGCAAAAAGTCAAAGCTGATCTTGATCTGCTGAACAGTGTGTAGAAGTACATGTTCACCGGAAGGGAAAATACTTGCTGACTGGGAATAGCATGTTATAATTGCTTTGGGGTATTCCAAAGGTTTAAGCCAAGTTAAACTCTTGAACCGAGTTTATCAGCATTACCCTGCCCTTAGCTTAACAATGTAGGCTGGTACAGAGAAATAGATCTGTTATGCTGATCTTGTTTGGGTGTAGGCACATGTTACAACTAGCAATACCAGGAAATTTTTGTCCAGAGAGCTATGCTGTGGACAGGATGAAAGTGCAGCAGCAACACAATGTGATAGTGAATGGAGTTTATCACTTATGCTTAGGTCAGCATTAGATATGGCAGTTCGGCATGCAGTCAGCTTGCCCTGCTAAAATCTGATATCGGATTGTTACTTTAAAGCTAACAGTTCTAAGTGGCTTGGAACATTTTGGCTGTTACTAGGACTTGTCAGGAAATTTACTGGCATGATGCCATCAGACCTTCTTTGGCACCCTGCTTCTGGCCATCAGTTTAAGTAGCTTAGTTTTGTTCAGCTCTCTATGCCTCTACTCTAATAATGTCGATAGTGTTAATTAATCTATCTGATAAAAACATGTCTGTCTGACATTCCACATGTTAATAAAACTTCTGCCCTCCTATTTCTAGCTGCCTGATGGATCAGAGATCCCCCTACCACCAATTGTCCTGGGAACACTGGGCACAGATCCATGCAAAAAGACGGTGTGTGTATATGGTCACCTGGATGTTCAGCCAGCAGCACTAGAGGATGGCTGGGATAGCGAACCCTTCACACTGGTGGAAAGAGATGGTAAGTGCAGTGGATTTCACCAACTGATGAACAATTCTGTAACAAGTGTGGTATTCCTCAATTGTTCCAAAGCTATGCCATTGATTGAAAGGGTAAAGTAGAGCAAGAACTGGTATGGGTGCTTGTTTAACACTATTGAGATGAAAATGTGCAGGTGGGGGAATAGTTAAAAAGTTGAGCTGCAAAATCTTGGCTGCTTTTGGAGTTGTTTCTTTTTCTGATAGTCCAGGCTGTAACTGCTGCCTTCCATGGTGCTTGTTTGTTGTCAGAGAGCTTTTTAGAACTAATTTCTTGTGCTGTTCACAGCTTGAAGCCTGTAAGGTCATGTCAGACTGCAGGAGTTTTGAACTATTACTGAGCAAAAATACACAGCACAACTTCTTTATGCCTGGAGACAGGAGTGGCACAGTAGCCTCCCTGGGTTGCCTTGTGTTTAAGTGTACTACTGTGAGTACTACAGAAGCTGTTTTGCAGAGGTAGTGCCTCATAAATGGGGATGAAGAAATAGTGTACCATCTCCTATTGAAACAACATTGCCAGTGGTCAAGAAGCCTAAAACTTCCTTTTCTATTTAAAGCTGATGCTACCATTAACTTCTTCTTTGTTTCACTTTGTCGTGTTCATGTCAAAGGTCATATCAATAGAAGGACATTAACCACTTGTGTTGTGTAAGCATTAATGATTGCCAGAAAAAGGAGTATCTGTGCTAACTAGTTCTTCTACCTGGGCACTTAGTCATAGGCAGCAGAGTCCAGGTTACTAAGTTGGGTTATCTCATCTGCTAACAAGACTTAGACTTGCCTCAGGCTGGAGCTTGTCTCTATACAGCCTGTTCATGCAGGAGTCATTCACCAATGGCTCTACCTTTGCAAGCTGTCTGGCCAGTTGTGTCACTGGTTACATGGGGTGCTGAGGGGTTGTAGCCACAGCTCTGAGTTGCAGTGATAACTCTGTGATCCTATGTGCTACCTTTTTTGGGGAGCTCCCTGTGACCTGTGAAACTTGTCTTTGACTAAATTCCTTTCTAGAGAGATCCGCTTTTATCTGGAGAATCCAGAGAAGTGATTTGTCAATAGCTACTGAATTTTTACTCTTCAAACAAAGAATTATTGAACTGATGCTAATACCTGATAAATTTCTGTTAAAAGAAGGGAGTTTGTTTCTGTACACATCGGTGTTTTTAGAAAATTCTGTTAGTGTGAAGGATAAGGCAGGTATGTTTTTTCCAGGCTTATATTAAATTCCTACTGAGGGAGTAGCTGGGGGAAGAGGTGGGGTAGCTCTGTAAGTGGGAGAACTACTGCAGTCCTGTACCTATCCCACTTGCAAGGATATGTGAAAAGAGATGTATAACTGTTTCTTCAGAAGAATCAGAGATTAAAATTTTTATAGAATTAGGGTTAAAAAAAGTTATCCGAAGAAAAGTGTTCTCCTGTAGGCAAGAGATGAAACTTCATGCTAATTTTTTTTCCTCACTGGTTAATTTGTATCTTGTTTCTACAGGAAAGTTGTATGGGCGAGGATCAACAGATGACAAAGGTCCAGTGCTTGCCTGGCTAAATGCCTTGGAGGCTTATCAAAAAACTAACCAGGTATGTGCCCAAAACATATTCTGCTTTTTCACACACAGCTGAGTCTAGCAACAAATGTAATCCAAGCCACAAACCCTTGGGAGGGAAGCCTGCTTATTCAGCTGATTGGAAGAATGATGCAAGAGTCCTGTAAATTTCGTGTTGTTCTAGTAGGGTTAAGTTGACTTGCTGACAAGTTAGTCTTGTGGATGCTTGGGTTGCACTTTAAACAATTTTCCTTTAATGAAATGTAGGTAGGAAAATACATATGCAAGCATGTGGAGCTGGAGGAATAATCAAATGTGATCACTGTCATGTAAGGATGTCAAATTAGTTTAGCTTTTATCAAATCTGAATGTTTTGCTGCCACTGAGCTCTAAGAGAAGGTTACATTAGCAACACTAAAGCTGATAGCTTTACTTGTTTCTGTTCAAGAAAATGTGCAATCAGAAATAGCTCAGAGTGTTTGCTTTATCTTGCAAGACAAGTTCCTATTACTTTTGAGAGGAATGACCAGTTCTCAGTTGCTTTCTAGGTATATAAAATAGCATAGACTGGATAGACAGGGTAGCTGTGATGCTCTTTCTGTGGCATGCAAATCCTGTGGTTTATAATAGTTTTTCTTGCCTGGCGGTTTACCTTTGGCAATAGATTTCTGCTGTGTTCCCACGGTTAAGGGGTTTGGAAAAAAGTTGTTTCAGAGCTGTTAAAACCTTTTGGAAGAGTTTGAATTCCATCAAATGAAGGTTGGTATAAGTGCCCTCAATGTAAGCACAGTCCAAACTTTAAACCAGTTTGTGTATAATTAACAAATTCCACTGTCGTGGAACTATTTTACCCACGTCTATTTTTCTGCTTTGAACACGTCAGATGAAAATTACTGATTGCTGAAGGAGTCAAGTGTTTTCACATGATTAATTTGTTCTTGTTTTTAATTTCAAAGGACTTTCCGGTAAATATTAAGTTTTGCCTAGAGGGTATGGAAGAATCAGGATCTGAAGGCCTTGATGAATTGATTTTTGCTCAACGAGATACCTTCTTCAAAGATGTGGATTATGTTTGCATTTCTGACAACTACTGGCTGGGCAAGAAGAAGCCTTGTATCACTTATGGCTTACGAGGTATCTGCTACTACTTCATAGAGGTAAGTGCTGAAATACACTGCAAATCCAGTAGTATTAAACTGAGTTTTCCACTGGAGAAGAGCGGTAGTTCAAACTTTTTTTTAGCAGGAAATGAGAAATTGACTACTTATGTAGAATGGCTTTTACTGATTTTCTAAATGTCCTTCCTTTACTATCCTGATACTTGGGTGGGTGGGATAGCTTTCAGATGTGTGAAGCAAGATAAGCCAGCACCTTCACTGAAGGATTGTCTCATAGCGCAGATGTCTACATCCACATACACCCTTCTTGTAGATGAGTGTTGCATTTGCCAGTTTCCAGTCAGCTGGAATTTCTTCAGTTAACCAGGACTGCTGGCAGATGATTGAGAATGGTTTGACAGTATTCTCAATACTCTGGAGTGGGGTGAATCCCATATTGGCCCATAGACTTGTGGGTGGCTAATTGGCAGAGCAGGTTACCAACCACCTCCTCATGGATTACAGGCTTCCCTCATTTGCCTGTCACCAATTTCCAGTTCAGGGAGCTGGGCATCCTGGGGATAACTGGCCTTGATATTAAGACTGTGGCAAAGAAGGCATTAAATATCTGCCTTTTTGTCATCTGCTATCACTGTTACCCTCTGCATTCAGCAAATGATGGGTACACTCCCTGACCCTTGGCCAAATCAAGTTCTGGCTGGGCTTTGGTGTTCTAACATTCTCCCTATATGACAGTATCTCCATGCTAAAATTGACCTGAATCTTCATTCGCTTCAATCAGGTGGAATGTTGTGACAAAGACCTTCACTCTGGAGTTTATGGTGGTTCAGTGCATGAAGCCATGACAGATCTCATTGCTCTAATGGGTAAGAAAAAACAGGTTTCACTGAATGCATTTTAAATGGGAGTAAGAACCATCAAAGCATAACTGAGTTTTTAGTGAGGGAGTTGCTGAGGACTGTTTGCAGCAGTAAAGCAGAGACCAGTGAAATGGTGCTTGCCAGGTGTGCAAAGTTAATGTCTCAGATACAGAAATATGGCGTAAGTCTTGCCAAAAAGTTGTCTGTCTACTCTTAGCTTTCCCTAAAATCTTGCTGAAAATTTGCATGTTAATTAAATTAGCTGTCTTCTCAAATTCTGCTATAGATGTGATATTCAACTCTTTGGGGATCCTGTCTTCAAGCAGCCAGCCAGATGTAGCAGTAGAATTAAATACAATAGCAAGCAAGTGCACATTTTGGATAGAGGCAATTCTTTAGGTGTCTTCAATGCTCAGTGGTGCATGCTCTGGGAAACAAAGTTTGAATTTCATTACATAAACAGAGTTTTCAGAAGGCCAAGACTTCTGTTTCCCAAGGAAAGTGCTCCCAGCAATGATATCTTGTACTTCTGGTTGAATACTGATATTAGTTGTTTCTTGTTTACAGGTTCTCTTGTAGACAAGAAAGGGAAAATCCTCATCCCAGGTGTTAATGAAGCGGTGGCGCCTGTTACTGATGAGGAGCTTGCATTATATGAGAAGATTGATTTTGACCTGTCAGAATATGCAAAAGATGTAGGAGCAGCAAGACTCCTGCATGATGCAAAGGTGTGCTTCACTCCTTCTCTACCCTGTTTAGATCAAGCTCTCTATATTAGTAGGAGACAGAAACAAACTTCTGTGGATGTGTGTGTAGTTACCAAGTAATTTTTTTAGGCAGAAGATTCATCTGATGTCTTCAAAATGGTGAGAATGCCTTGAAGATAATTTTGCCTATTGTATGGTTGACTGCACACTTAACACTTTGCAGAGGAACTGTTAGTGTTAGGTGCTTAAAAACTTAGTCTAGGTTATCCCATGTTTAACTCAAGCAGTCTCAACAACTTTAAATTTGCTCCTTAGAATATGTATAAGTAGCATTTCAAACTTGTACAGAACTTTATTAGTGCTGTTCTCTTAATGCTAAATAAGAATGTTAGCAGTTTTCCAGAGGTCATATAGCAATGTGCACAAAATGTCAGATTTTCTACATCTGTAGGAAGTTCAATGAGTTAGCAGAAATAAAGTAGTTAGACAGAAATGATTGCTCATTAGGTGAGAAGACAGCTTGAAACCCAGCTGTGTTGATTTAAGGCTGACGTGCTGAACATCTTCCTACACCTGGCAAACAAGAACTGTTTTCTAATCATGAACTAGGCAGCCAAAATCTTTGAAGAGGCTCAAGTTCAATAAACTCCTGTCTGAAGTTAAATCTTCATCCTGGGAGCTCACCAAATGAATGCTTTTAACAGCATTGAATCTTACAAGGTACAGGTATTACATACTAATTTTAAAACTGTAGATGTAAATAAATCTCCTGTCATAAAAAGCAGACACAGGTGTTGTAAAAGGCAAGTTTACATGTGCAGGTCTGTCTTCTGTCCTAGTACTCTYAGGAGGAGACTTCAAACTTAGCTCGAATAGGTATAAATAACAATTTATATCCTCAGCCTTGCCTTTACATGCTCAGGTTTATATCAAATGGAAGCACATGGGACTTCCTTATATAGCCTTGTCCTTTAAACTAATGGATGAATTATAGCTTGGATATAAGAAGGAGCTGGCAAGATGTTCTTTGTGATACTGAACTGAAGCTGTTCAGTCTTGGCTAAACTGAAATTCCAGCTAAGGGACTTCTAAGCTGCATACATGCAAGAATGGTTTGAGGGCTAAGGAAAGAGCAGGGAGAGAGGGCTGTAACTTCTAGGTGAGAAGCAAATGTGTTTGAGAGATTTGAGCTGTGACAGCTACCTATGCTTTGAGAGAAGGCTGGAAGCAGGTTGTACCTGGAAAAAAACAATCTTGTAATATAAAGAACACAAAATTTTCTAAGTTTCTGCATTTCTGCATTGAAATTCAGTCCTGAGACACTGTACCTGTGTCTGCAAGGAACAACTCAACAACTTTACTGAATTTGTTATCCAGTGTGTTGAACAGCTCTGTCCAAGGCAACAGAGAGGAAAGGCAGGAAGTGTACCTGGAAGGCAGGGGTGGTCAGTCTAATCAGCCTGGAGTTCAGACATTTTAATACAACTGATGATATAAAGAAAAACACACTATAAGCTTCAGTCTGAGCAGTGGTGAGGCTTCTAGAAAGTGTGAACTTAAGCAGTGTCCTGGTGATGAGGGCACCTTCCTACCCTGAGGCCGGGGGGACTAGAGCTTCCTGTAAATACTCTCCCTACATGCTGTGCTTCACTACCCTATAAATGGTACTTATGTCCTGAAAGTTCCTCAGCGCTGGGAGAGAGCCAAGCTAGAGCTGCTGAGTCTCTTAAGGTGCTGAGAATCCAGCTGTTGTATTAGAAAGTGTGCTTAATGGGAGTAACAGTTCGAGTGCTCCGGAATGAGCTGCATTTCTCCATAGGAGAAAGCACCTGTTTCTTGCAAATTCTTTATTAGATAGAAGAAATAATTAATTTAGGGATTAATAATTCATGTAATCTTGCATTTATCTCTTTGCTTCTGCAGAGAGAGATCCTTATGCACAGGTGGAGATTCCCTTCCTTGTCTCTCCATGGAATTGAAGGAGCCTTCTCAGCCTCTGGAGCCAAGACTGTGATTCCTAGGAAAGTGATTGGCAAGTTCTCAATCAGGCTTGTGCCAAACATGACTCCTGAAGAAGTAACGAAGAATGTATGTCGAGATGGATTGCTGCTATCCTAACTAGTGTCTCTAAACTTTTGTTCACCTTGTCTTGGGAGAAAATTTTTTTGTTTTCTTAAGCCGTTCTGTTCTTTTACTTTCCTACCATCTTCCCTGTTCTGCATCTCAACACAAGATAACTGAGGCAGTCACTGTGTGGTGACCTGGTAGACTGTGGTGGTCTGACTTCCCAGTTTCTCTAAACTCAAAAGGGCTTGCTAACTTATTTGTAGGGCACCTGGATTGTCAGAAATGCATATTTAAAAGCAGGAATGTTTGACATACTGGTTAATTGTTCTACAATACGCTGTTGACTTGCCTAAAGAAGATATTCTGACTTCAGAGCAGAGCATCATTGGAATACGATGAAATAAGAGCAATAGGAAAAGTATTGCTGCACAGTTGTAGTGACCTGCAAAACCCTAAGATGCTTTTAGAATATGGATTTTTCCACTGCTCATACAAATGCTCACAGGAGATAAGATCATTCAATCTTTCTTGCAGGTTGAAGACTACTTGAAGAAAAAGTTTGCAGAGCTGCAGAGTCCTAACAAATTCAAAGTGTACTTAGGCCATGGTGGAAAACCCTGGGTGTCAGACTTTAACCATCCCCACTACATGGCTGGTAGGAGGGCCATGAAGACAGGTCAGTGGGTTTTCACTTGGCGTTGGTAGGATTGAAAAGCTCTTGTTGAAACACTGGGGAGGTCATGTTTTCTGAATATTTAGTGTTACGCACTTACATCTAATAACTTTGGCTCACTAAGTAAAGCAGCATGTTATRTGCAATGCTTAAACTGAAATCTGAGGTACAGGAAGGAAAGATTCTGGATATTAAGTTAATTTCTACTGTTTTGGAACAAGCTGGCATGATGTTGCTTTTGCATAAGAATGAGACTGTCAGTTCAGATCACCTGCTTAGCCAAATTCCATGAGGCTTGGTCATCACAGTTAATCAGTTTTGCTAGGTTGTATACAGCAGCAGGAACCAATCTAACTTGTGTTGGAGTACAGACAGGTTTTCAGATGAAGTGTTGGTGTGTAACTGAACTGAGCTCTGATGGTGACAAAACTCCGCCACAAATGAGGGGGGGAAGCTCCACACATCAGTGGCCTTTGCAGTCTGGCTGATTTGCCCAGCACTTGGTACAGACTGTTACTTGAGGGCTTGAATGAGGGCTTGATTGGAAGAAATATAAATTCCAAACTGACTAGAGTATCACTCTTCTAGTTTTTGGAGTTGAACCAGACCTGACAAGAGAGGGAGGAAGCATTCCTGTTACCCTTACGTTTCAAGAAGCAACAGGCAAGAATGTCATGCTGCTTCCAGTTGGAGCTGCAGATGATGGTGCCCACTCTCAAAATGAAAAACTAAATAGGTAAGAGAATATTTATCCCTGTGCTTGGGTCAGTTTACCATGGGTCTTGGCATGTATTCTGAAAAACTCTAATAACTGAAGTCTTTTAAATTTAATTCTCTGGATGGCAAAGTGCCATCCTGCCTAGCAGAGACTGTTTGGGTAACTAGTTTGTAGCTGAATCTTGATTTCTTAAGTGATACATTTGAAACTAGAAGCAGGTTTTGTACTTTGCTCTCAAAGCTTGGCTACTCTCTCCCCCAAGGGTGGTGTTTCTGTCTTGCCAGGAAGATGTAGGGGTTTGGGGAGTAGTGCCTGCTACCTGCAGTAGTAATTCCTGTAGACTTTGTTGTGTGTGCAGAATTGATGTGTGGGCTTTGCAGAATGGTCATTTACTAGAGATACAGCTCAATGAAGACACTGCTAAAAGGAAACTCTTCTTTGCAGGTACAACTACATCCAGGGGGTGAAGATGCTTGGTGCATACCTCTATGAAGTTTCCCAGCTGAAGGACTAAGTTAGACACATCATCTTTTGGTTTATGGATCAGCAGTCTGAATTTTCTCACAAAATGTCATCAATTACCAAGTCTTTGATTGCTCCCCTCTTCTACCAACATTCCACTTTGGTGGGGAAGAGGGAAGTGGGCAGTTCCACTTGACAAAGAACAAAGTGCACCAAAAATACTTCTTTAAAAGCTTACTTTAGATGAACAGACTATTCGTTAAGTGGTCAGCAGTCCTGAACTGCTTCTTCATCCCCTCTGTATCACTTCAGTTTGCTGTATTCATCTACTTTTCCTGCAAAGCAAGAGGAATGGTTTGCTCTCAGCAATTTAAGCAGCCACAGCAGTGACAGAACTGCCAACCAATTTAAGGTTCTTCTTCCTGGGTATGTCCTGGAAACAAGTAGCCAAGATTACGGGGCTACACTGGAATGTGTTCAAACTGTAGTAAGACATCTGTCTCTGCTGAATGATTTGGAGGAGCAGTTTGTCTCTTGCAGTTTATGCCTGTCTGCAAGTTTTCAATTTGCAGGGAATCAGGTTGTAATAAACTTAATCAGGTTGTAATAAACTTCATTGTGGTAATGACTACTGGCCATTTTTTTAAAGCTGCCTTTGTACCAAAAAAAATTAAACAAATAATCATGCTGTAGTTTGGCTCTTGGTCTCTAAGGTTTAAATATTGACTTGGGAGGGAAAGCAGCTTTGGGAACTTGAGAGGGACACCTCTGTGGCTACACAGACTATATGTTGTGGTAATCCAAATTTTTATTCCCAGGGTCTGGCTCCATAACATGTTGTTGACTTGAAGCAGATGTGGGAAAATGCTGCTCTCCTGAGAGAACAAACTCAAAATGTTTCATTTCGTGTTTGTGAAGCATGTCTTCACACTGTAGCATAATTGATAATACTGCAAGTGAGTGAATGGAATTTGTAGGCATAAGCAGGTAGAGATCACTTGTTGCAGGTAGCACTGACATCCAATTTCAAGCACTCTACTGGATACATTAAACTCCAACACTTTTGTTATTATGTTGAAAAAAACAAACCTCTTGCATGTTTGCTAATGTGGATTGGCCTCACTTTCTGAATTACCTGACCAGCACTGCCAGCCTAAAGTACGTAAGTATTTGAAGTGATGGTGCCTTGCTCTGAGAGCATGGTACAGTCCAGTGTACTGACAGAGGTGTGTATGATTCCTTCCTTGAGGGGCAGAAGGCAGAGGAATGCCTTCTCTGCCTGGTTTTCACTGTTGCTTGATCTGGAGACTTAACAGTGGACACCTGCTGGGCTAGGAAATCTTTTGATCTCACTGAAGCTTGTTTTGTCTTTTGTCGTTGAAGTTGATGGCTGGAGATAATCTGGTACCATTAACCTTTGCACTTGCAGCTGGGATCCAGTCAGACCATCCTGTGTCTATTTGAGAGCGATGAACACAAACACTGGGGAGTTAATGTTTATGAATTTTGTTGGGAACTATGTTCAGAAACTGTGTATAGTTGTCTTATTGCATTTGTAACAAATTTCTTCAGAATCAGTTATTTGGCTGAAGCTCTGCATGAAGACATTGTATCAGATCCTGTACTTGCTGAATAACTACTGTAAGGCAGAATTTTGAAGGAGGCCCAAACAGAGGAAAGGGGGACAAGGGGTTTGTAGAAAAGGCTGAGAAACAGATACTATTGAGTATACAGCAGAAATCTTTCGGCATGGGGAGGATGTCGGAACTCTGTGAAAATGAGATTAAAATGGGACTTTGGCCCAAGCAGCATGCAGGGCCTATTTAAGCACACAGGAGTAGGTTCCTAAAGTAATTGGTACTTAGTGAGATTTCATGGGTCTTCAGATTTGTTTAGGTGAGTAATTTTAAGTTTGGAAATCATCAGTGTCAGTTGGCTTGCTACAGCAGGGCTTGCTTTGGCCATAACCTCTCTTGTCCCTGCAGAAGGTGACCACAGAAGCAGTAGTACTTGGCCTCAGTGAACAAGGCAGGCAGAAGGCACTCATGGTGCCATCTTATTTCTGTAGCCTGGCTGCTTCGAACGTGGTTCTTGAAGACTTGTAGTGGCAGGCAGCTGGCTTTCTGCATCCATGAGTGCTTGTGCATGGTGTGGAGTTTGCTTAGCCCAAGTTGTTTGAATAATAGCACTGTTGTGCAATGCAGAAGGGTCTGACATGACCAAGTGTCAGCTGGTGGTGAAAACCAAAATGCATCAGTGAAGCACAGGCCCTGACAACCCTGTTTGCTGGGTGTGCAAAGGCCATTTGGCATTTCCCACACAAAACTGCATCACTTTTTACCTGTTGAGTTTGGAACATCTCTTGATCAGTGGCATGTGGCTGTCAGCAAGTCTTCCTTTCCTGTACTTCCAGTTCTTCCACTCCAATAATGTAGAAGATCTACAACATGGATTTTACAACTGTGGGGGCAAAAAGCAGCCTCACAAGTCTTAAATTTGAAACTCAGCTAATTATCGTGTATGACTGAGTCCTGGGAAACATAAGGGAGTGTTAACAGCCTGCATGGAAGAAGAATACTATGGCCTTAGCTACCTTTGAGAAAAAGAGATTAGAATGTAAAATTGATAATGCAGGTGGCTGACCATTATAAACGTTACTAATACTGTAGTTTTTACAAACATACCAATCATATACTGATTCATAATTAAACAGCTATCTCTTAGCCAATGTATGTTTGACACAAATGTATGCACTGGTTGTTAAAGTAAATAAAAGAAACCTCACATAATAAAGCAGTTACTTTTTGTTGTGTGCATGTGTATCTTTGTATCTGTTATTTTGTGTCTGCTGTCTAGCCAACAGCTGCATACAACTAGTTCTCAGGGGAAGCTACTGCAAACTTGGGGATGTGGACTTGTGGCCTCATTGCTCACTAGATGTCATGGATTTTGCTAAGACACAAGACAATGCATTTTAATATGCACTTTAAAAAGCAGCTGGAGTTATTACAAGCTATTATGCCTAAATACACCCCAAGTGCCATTTAAAATGTGATTTTTCTTTATTTTGCTGTGTTCCGGGAAACACAAGCATGCATGTTAAAAACGGCCTTGATTTTCAACTATGATGCAATCCATTTTAGGCTCATTGAGTACAATGTTTCTTAATTTGAAACTAATTGAAACTAAATTTGAAACTTGTTTTTAACTTTCAAAACAGATTATGGTAAACCAAAATGAGTTTAGATGCACTAAATCAAAATTTCAAGAGCTTCAGCTTTGTGATCTTGACCTTGAAGCAATGTGAGGATTGGAGATAACATGGAGTTAATCTAGATAAAGTATTCCAGTTTGTTCATTCTGTTAAACTACTCGTTCAAAAACATTGCCATTTTTTCAGTCTTATCTGAACTCATTCAATTAAAATATAATGCATTCATGTGTTAAATATGCATTTACATTATGAGGAGTCAATCTGAATAAATTACTTTCCTGATAATTAATGAAGTTATGCAGGGGCTTTAAATCATTCTTCAGAGAATCTTCTTAGGCTACACCGAAAAGTTTAGTAGGTAATTTTGATCATACCATTTTACATCATGATGTTAGGTTATGACAGCCCTGAATGCTGAGACATGTTTTTCTAGTACTTTAAAATATTCATCTTTCTATTAATTTTGCATAGCCTTAGTGCTTCTGAGGTTTCCTGAGGAAAACTTAACATGCATGCCAATGAAAWAGGCCCACTGACACTAAGGCAGTATCCAGTCTTCTCTCTGCACAGGCTTGTGTCTTCTCTGTCACAGAGGCAGCTCATGGCCTCTTACGTTTCTGCCCTTTTAGACTGAAAAATGCAATAACAAAGTTGAGCAGCTTTTTTCATCGCTGTTATCGTGATTTGCTCTATTTTGGAAAAGCAGCTGTCCTGTGTAATTCCACGGGCATGCCCACCATGGAGTTGCTCCTCAGGCTGTCTGTGTGTACCAGGTTTGTGTGGCAATGTTCTGGTCAAGGCAGGGCTACAGGAGTGGCTTCTGTAAGGAGCTGCCAGAGCTTTGCCCATGTCCAACAGAGCCGGTGCCAGAGGGCTCCAAGACAGACCGGCCCCTGGTGAGGCTGAGCCCTTCAGTGACAGAGACAGCGCCTCTGTGACAGCAGTTAGGAAGGGGAAAAGTTACTGCATGGGAGAAATTCCAGTGTCGTGGTTTAAAATGCTGGCCAAAAGCCAGGCACTCACAACACCTGCTCATTCGCTCTCCCCCATCACCACTGGGTAGAGAAGAGCAAAGAAAAAAATTAACAAAAGGGTTCATGAGTTGAGATAAGGAACAGGGAGGAAATGCTTGATGGACAAAACAGGCACTACTGAAATGATGAAGTGAATTTATTACTAATAAAGTCAGAGGAGGCGAATGAGAGCTAAAAATACAACCCTCAAAGACACCGATCTTCTCCCCACTCCCTCCCCCCTTCCCACCGACAGTACAAAACAGCGGGGGATGAACAGGGTGTGGGGTTGGTCAGTTCAGGGTGTGGGGTCGGTCAGTTCAGGGTGTGGGGTCGGTCAGTTCAGGGTTGGTCAGTTCAGGCTGTGGGGTTGGTCAGTTCGGGGTGTAGGGTTGGTCAGTTCAGGGTGTGGGGTTGGTTAGTTCAGGGTTGGTCAGTTCAGGGTGTGGGGTTGGTCACTGCAGGTGTGGGGTTGGTCAGTTCAGGGTGTGGGGTTGGTCAGTTCAGGGTGTGGGGTTGGTCAGTTCAGGGTGTGGGGTTGGTCAGTTCAAGGTTGGGGTTGGTCAGTTCAGGGTGTGGGGTTGGTCAGTTCAGGGTGTGGGGTTGGTCAGTTCATTACGGGATCGATCTGTGGCTGCTGAGGGAGAGGAGTCCTTCCCTTGCGTTGCCATGGGGTCCCTCCCACGGGAGACAATTCTCAGTGAACCTCTCCAGTGTGGTTCCACTCTCACAAGCAGCACTCCACACACATCTGCTGCATCGTGAGTCCCCCCACGGGCAGAAAATCGTCCCAAAACTGCTGCACCGTGGGGTCTCTCGTCCCCTGGGTGCAGGCCCAAGGCCAGGCTGTTCCATCTCGGGAGCAAGGCCTCTCTCTCCATGGCTCTCCTGCTGGACACAGCCCCTTCTCGGCATCCACCCGCTCCGGAGTGGGGACCTCCCTCCTCCACGGGCTGTGGGTGGATCTCTGCACCCTCTGTGGATCCCATGGGCTGCAGGGGGACAGCCTGCTCCACCATGGTCACCATGGTCACCTGCAGGGGACAGCCTGCTCCACCATCATCACCACGGGCTGCAGGGGCACAGCCTGCTCCACCATGGTCACCATGGGCTGCAGGGGGACAGCCTGCTCCACCATGGTCACCA